CCAAATCCCAGATGAACAGCATGGGTGGAGCTCGACAGCGCAAACGGCCCTCAGAGACAAGCAGGACATGTCCAAACGTCCCCCCTCTCTCCAACAGCCTCAACTTGGTAGCCCAGCAACCATACTTAAATAAGGGCACCCTTTTTCGGTTGGAAATTTAGAAGGGAACCCATAACCAAAACTAAAATAATAGCACCCTTTTTGGGGTTGGTTATTTTATAAGGGAACCCATAACCCAAAAAAAAGGGTAAAGGGCACCACTGGAAGTAAATGGAAGTAGGAGTCGTTTGAGGTTTTAGGGACTTAGGGGTAAGTCGTGTACAAGTTCAGGGTCAGGAAAGCCTTGGAAACACTCTCGCAACGACTACAGCCCCTAAATCCGAAATACTTGAACGCCCCCACCCAACAAAAAAACAGGGAATAATGGGTTATGAGGGGTCATAACCTTAAACCCTAAACCCTAAACCCTAAACCCTAATGCTTCGGCGAAGCTGAGACCCTCAGCGCTGTACACCCTGACGCAGACGCTTAAGACGTCGCCTTCCGCTTGGTGGGAGTGACCTCGACCACCTCGACGTCCTGCGGCGGATGGAGGACATGCAGCTTAATGTTTTGGGGCTGGCATAGAGCCCTAGACCCTAAACCCCTCTGTAAACACTAAACCCTCTAAACCCTCTAAACCCTCTAAACCCTCTAAACCCTCTAAACCCTCTGAATCCTCTGAATCCTCTAAATCCTCTACAACCCTCTCCTACTTTAACAGCGCACCTACTTAACAGCGCACGGGAGGCGGGGTTCAAGGTCGAGGGCCTTGGGTAGAAACCTAACCCTCCACCCTAAACAATAAATCCTTAACCCTAAACCCTTAACCCTAAACCCTAAACCCTAAACCCTTAACCCTAAACCCTCCTAGGACCTTGACATGCCAGCAAGCCCGGAGCCAAAACATAGCAAGCCCTGAACTTGAGGGTTTAGGGTTTAGGGTTTAGGGCTTAGGTTTTAGGGCAAGATCATTTTGGGGTTTAGGGTTTAGGGTTTGGGTTTAGGGTTTGGGGTTTGGGGTTTAGGGTTTGGGGTTTAGGGTTTAGGGCTTAGGGTTTAGGGCTTAGGGTTTAGGGTTTAGGGTTTAAGGTTTAGGGTTTAGGGTTTAGGGTGACGAAGAGCTCCTCAAACTCCGCCGACTGCCAACAGCACCACTCAAAGGAAACCACACGAAAGAACATTGCAGAACCCCCAAACCCATTCAGCGGCCTACAAGCCCCCACCCCACCCACCCTAGACCCCACAAGCCCCACATCCTAAACCATAAACCCCGAACTTTGAACCTGAACCACCCTAAACCCTGTGCCCTAAACCCCCGAAACCCAAAACCCTTTAAACGCTCAACCCTAAACCCTACAAACCCAACACCCCAAACCCTCAACCCTAAAACCCTGAAGCCCAAACCCCAAACCCCAAAACCCTAAACCTCAAACCCTAAAATCCAAAAACCCTAAACCCTGAAGCCCAAACCCTAAACCCTACCCCAAACCATAAACCCTACAACCCTAAAATCATAAATCCTAAGCCCTAAACCCTAAAACCCTCAAACCCTACACCCCTAACCCTAAACCCTAAACCCTAAACCCTAAACCCTAGACCCTATAAATAACTTTGCCCTAAACCCTAAACCGCAGCTCGCGGACTGCCTGCGCTCTTCGCCGCTTGCGGGGCGCCGGTTTCGGCGCCGCAGGCTCCTAGGGATTGGGGGTTAGGTTTAGGGTTTAGGGTCTAGGGTTTGGGGTTCAGGGTTGAGGGTTCAGGGTTTCGGGTTTAGGTTTAGGGTTTAAGGTTTAGGATTTAGGGTTCAGGATTTAGGGTTTAGGGTTTATGGAACCCCGAGAGCCCAGTATTTCTGAACAGAATCATAGGGTTGAGGGTTTAGGGTTTGGGGTTTAGGGTCTGGTGTTTAGGGTTCGCACCCCTGAGTGAAGATCATGTACCTTGTGGGGTTTCGGGTTGGTGGCCGAAGCTGAAACTTCTCCTTTCGTGCCGAAGGAGACAAAACAACTGAGGGCACGGCTCACTCAAGAGAAAGGTCTTAGGGCTTTGGGGTTTCGGGGATCTGGATTTCGGGCTTTAGGGATTTGTACGGAGTTGTTGTGAGTTTGGGCTGTTGACTTCTGGGCTCGGGGCTTAATTGTGGACGGTAGGAGTTTTCTTGGCCTGCAATTGTCAGGGAACCCAAGCTAGAAAGGTAGAAGAAAAGGTTCCATTGGGATTAAGGGTTGGTTGCGGCGGCGACGGGCAAAGATGATTGGAGGTTCATGGGCACTTATTGAAAAAGTGGGGGGGGGGGGGGGTGCCCAGAGTCCTGACTGTTGTAATGATGCTTTTCACTCCCCTTCTACATTAGTAAGCTCCAAAAAGCCCAAAAGGCAGTAAGTCCTAAGCTGGGCCAACCAAACTTCGTCGGAGTCTCTGTGCTTTTGGCTGCCGCCTTCGGCGAAGGGGCGTCCAGCTCAATGTCGATGTCTATGGTGGCGTCCTTTGGGCACGTGGTCCAACCCAACTCTAAGGCTTGAGGGCTTGAGGTTGGGATCTTCCCCCTTATACTAACAGTCCTTACTCGGGATTTTCATAGGGTGTACGATAAGCCCGATTAAGGACTGTCTGTTTCAGGGGGAACATCCCAAGTTGGAGGGCTTGAGGTTTAGGGACACACATCCTCTGCCACATTTGCAGAATGCACTCCTTTGCCAATATATCCAATCTGTCTAAAACCTACTTGATCCAGCTATAGGCCCAGAACATCCATTTGCGTAAGCACCAGCGACAAAACAAATAACAATCCCTATACCGCCCACATAAGGAAAATCCTTTTGATTTTTTGGAGGGTGGTTCTTTAGCAAAATAGTAGAGAACTACCCATGAATCTCCAACCATGAACCCAAAATCACTTAAAACTCCCTGTGAAGCCGGAAGCCCTAGACCACAAAATCCTGAACCCGAAGCCCCAAAATCCTAAACCCTAAGCCACAAAGTCCTAAACCCTAAACTCCCAAAATCCTAAACCCTAAACCCTAACCGCTAAGCCCCCAAAACCATAAACCCTAAACCCTAAACCCCCGAAACCCCAAAAACCTCAAAAACCCTCAACCCTAAGCCCTAAACCCCCAAAACCCCCAAAACCCTCAACCCTAAACCCCCAAAATCCCAAACCCGACCTGGCGCCCCTTCTTCGCTTCCGCTGGCGGCGGCGCTGCCGCCGTGGTGCTGTCCTGGGAGGCTCCATAGGGTTTAGGGTTTAGGGTTTAGGATTTAGGGTTTAGGGTTTAGGGAAGCTCCATAGGGTCGGCTCAGGATGTAGGGTTCTTAGGGTTTTTAGGGTTTACAAGGTTTAGGGTTTAGGGTTTAGGATGTTTGGGATTTGGGGTTTAGGGTTTAGGGTCTGTGGACTAGGAACCCAAACCACTCCCTGCTTGCGCAGCGATCCACCCCATGCCCACTGTCATCAAGCGTTTTCGCTTCGAAAGGTCGGTTTTAATGGTCGAGACTCCAAATTTATGCGGTTTTTTGAAATCTGACCAACCCACGACCTTACCTGATTTGAAAACAATCAGGACCCCCCAAACCCGAAACCCTGAACCCTGAACCCTAAACCCTGATTTTTTCGGGGTTTTCCGGGAAGCCCTCTGCCCGACCCTACGGCCTGAGCTGGTTGGGTTTAGGGTTTGGGGGCTTCGGCATTCTGGGCTTAGGGTTTAGGGTTTAGGGTTTCCTGAACGTAAACACTTGTAGTTTAGTTGGGATTTCCATTTCAGGACTCTCGATGCAGAGTACTTCGGATTCCAGATGCTTCAGATTTGAGACATAGGGAGTTTCCGAACTTCGGGCTACCTTCTTGCAACCTCAACCAAACGAAGTACCAATTCCGGAAAAGTTTCCTCTAGGGCTTACTGACAGAACCCTGGATAGAATGTTTTAGGGTGTAGGGTTTAGGGTTCTGCCCCAAAACCATGGCCCCGCAAGCCGTTGCTCAAGTGTCGGCAGGGTTAGCTGTCGCTGAGGGCTTGGCGTCGAGCTCGATCGCAGCGTCCTGGGGGCATACCCGCGAGGGGTACTAAGCAAGAGTCCTAAATAGCCGAAAAATGATCACCGTACTAAGCCCTTGTCTAAGACCTGGAGGGTCTGTGCTACCAACAGTCCTTAATAGGGACTATAGTACCCCCTATTATAATCCCTATTAAGGTTTGTTATTGTTAAGGGGAACATCCCAATCTTCTCAAATCAAGTCCGACGCCCGAAGCTCCAACACGCAGGAAGCGCCTCCATCGAACGCCCCGTCTTTGGTGCTGCCGTCGGAGGCACCGATGCCATGACGCCGTCCTGACACGGGTGTAGGGTTTAGGGTTTAGGGTTTAGGGTTCAGGGTTTGGGGTTTGGGGTTTAGGGTTTAGGGGCTTCAGAGGGCACCGGTATCGGGTCACACTTAGGGAAGTAGTAAGCCGAAATGGCTAACTTCAGCCTAAAGGGATCTATAGAGGCTCAAGGCCAGTGGTTAGCCTTGTGGTCGGGATTCACGAGGCATGCACAAGACCTGGGATTCTAGGATTTGTACTTGCGCGATTCGGCGGTTGAAATCGTTGGTCATGCCTGCCATGTCCGGGAGAGTACGGGATTTGCCAAATAATCGTGCAAGAACAACCCCTAAAGGCCCCGACAAAAAGTGACATGCCCTTAGAATGCGGCCGCTCGGTATAGGGTCCCGGCGAGTTTTTCTGCGCCGCGCGGCATGGCTCGGCTCCACAAATCAACTCCAGCTAGGGTTTAGGGTTTAGGGTTTAAGGTTTAGGGTTCAGGGTTCAGGGTTTAGGGCTCTCATACACCACAAAGCGCATCACACCTAATGCTACCCGTGGTTGGCAGATCGGAGTGCGCTGCCCACAGACAGAGCCTCTTGGGACAAGGCTTGGATGCCACTTGCCAAGGAAGGCCTTTACCTTGTAAGCCCGACACCCCTACGTCCTAAACTCAACCATTCCAGTTCGCGAAGGGTCAGACGGGGTCATGTAACGCTGAATTTGAAAGACATATCCATTGTAGCTGCGCATCTCCTGAAGGTGTCGACTTCGTGAAAAAGCCTTCATGGCCTTCTGCACAGCAACTTGCGGCGCAGCCACTTCGGTCAGGAAGCCCTGCTTGAAAAGCTCTCGTCGCACTGCAGCATCCTTGGGTGCAATGCGCCATTTGCCGTCAGTTGCAGCTGACAGAAACGCTCCTCTCAGCTTGCGATTCACGTCCGAGGCAGTGTCAGTGGGGGCGGGTTGTGCGCAGCACTCTTTACGTAGTCTGCGCTTGTTCTGGGGCATGTTTGCAAACACCAACATGGCCTCGGGAAGATCTGCATTGAAGTCATCGTCTAAGTACCCCATTTTGCGCAAGGCTCTTGCCACCATATCAGCAGAGTCCTTGATTAGGAAAGGGCCTCCTCCGTTGTAAACTTGGTTAGAAAGCATGCTTCCATACTTCCTTAACTTCTCGCGCGTAGCGCTGCGGGGAGAGCTGACGGGAAGGAAGAACCCCAGTTTAGTCCTGTATGGCTTCCAAGATCGTGGCCGGCCAGGGCTCTGTATGGCATACCGGTGCAGTTCTTGGCATCCGCATTGCGCCGGGAAAACGGTAAGCGGAGTCAGATTGTTCACGAAACCGAATTTGGCAATGGATGGTGCAAAGTACCCTCCCTGGTCGTAGTAGCCCAAATCTTGTAGCAGCTGAAGGAGCTCTGGAGAAGTTTCGTGATCAGGATGCTTCCATGACCCAGCAAACTGCACGGTACCATGTCCATCCTCACACAAGACAGCCCTGACCTTGGGCCCGGGCCTATCAAACTTGTGCTGATCACGCACCAGCTGCACTTGCACACCAGCCCTTCGGTAAGTTCCGGCGCTCCACCTTGTCGCTTGGGGTATAAACACTAGTACCTCCTTGCCGCAAGCAGTCACATTCACTAAAGCGTCAACGAAGTCAGTGTCTGCTGTCAGCAGTGCTACACACACATCATCCATTGACTGGGCCAAGTCTCTTAACTTTCTCTCTATAGCCACATCGCTTGCCTCACCAGCTGCGCTACGAGGCACAGGTACGAAAGACACATCAGGCTCTTGAAAGAAGGCCTTCCACTTCTTGTTTGCCACTCTCCCGGGCTCCGCAAAAACTGTGGTGTGGGCCTCCCAACCCGAAGTTTGCAACTGATCGATGGCCTCTTTGGCTGCCTCGATGCCACGCTGATCCCCGTCCACCAGGAGCTCAGCCTTAGCCTTGGCCCTCGAGTGAACTCTTACGCGTGCGGCTCGCATGTGCCAGGCACGTGCCACCGCAAGCCGGCTTGATCTTGGCTTGCTGGGGCTGCACATGTTCCACTCAGGGCTGACACTCAACGTCCCGGGCCTCCGCACGCAAGACTGCAGTCCACAGGACCACCAGCAGATAAGCGCGGCGTAGAGAGGTAGCCTGGGTAGCCTCGGCTCTCCCACAGGCCTTTGGGCCATGGCGCGTGGAGCATGCTCGTGAACGTAGGGTATGCGGCCCGTTGCACTCAGCCTCAAAGCCAAAGCAACAACCTGTTGAGACTGGATGTGGACAAGGTGGATGTGGGGACGTCAGCTTTGCATGAGGAAGTTGAGCAAGCCCCTAAAACAAGCCTGTTGCACTTAGGCTCACGCACCCTGAACCTCAAGTCCAAAAAGGCCCTCAGCAGGGTTAGCTGCCGTTCTTCCACATGAGCCCTGATGTGCCCAAGCCCTCAACGCCTGGAGTCCAACCCCCCTAAACCCTAAACCCTAAACCCTAAACCCTAAACCCTAAACCCTAAACCCTAAACCCTAAACCCTAAACCCTAAACCCTAAACCCTAAATCCAACCCCCCCGAGCCCTGGTCCCAGATCTGGATGGCCTCCAACCCTGTGCCATGCTGCAAGAGTGCTCCCCAAAACCGAGATCTCCGCAAGTTACCCTTCCTTGAGCGTCGCATCCCACACCCGAAGCTGCAACGTGCAGGAAGCATGTACCTTATTGGGGTCCTTATGATTATAAGGGAATCCTACTATTTGGGGGACTATGAGGGGTCACCTATTTTCGCAAAACCCCCATGTAACCCCAAACCCTAAACCCTACACCCCAAACCCCAAACCCCAAACCCTAAACCTGCCTCTGCCGGACTCCCCGTCTTCGGAGCCACTGGCAGAGGCGTTGCCGCGGCGGCGCCGTCCTGGGGGGGGACGGCAGCACCAACCATGTGCCCAGCCTGGCCCCCGAGCCCATTTAGGGTTTAGGGTTTAGGGTTTAGGGTTTAGGGTTTAGGGTCTCTGATGCTGCAACCCCCAAACCGGAACCGCACAACTGTGAACCCCCATCCTCTTGAAGGGTCATGGGCCTGTTGAAACTCGGAGTTGGGGCGAGCAGATCCAAGTACAAGCCCCTTGATCCCGCGCGCCCGAAACCTCGAGCCGAACGTGGGTTGGAAAGCTGTAGCCCAATCCTCAGAGACTCCAAAACCCCTTAATTAAGGAAAATACTTTAAATTATAATAGGAGCCCTTATATGATTTAAGGTATATTCCTTAACTAAGGGGTTTTGGAGTCTCTAGGTCCTCAGCAGGCTTCGCCGCCGCTGTTCCCGATGGTGTGGCGTCGAGCTCGATAGCGGCGCCCTGGTCATAAGACCCAAGATCGACAGCGGAGATGCAGGAGTCCAACAAATTCATAACCCTAAGAATCATGTCCGTGGATGCCCCTTCGGCAATCGTTCTTTTGTTCAAAGCATCCTGTGCAAATGCACCGCATGAAGCAACTTGAAAGCAGTGTCCTTTTCCGCAGACTGTTCCTTGCTGCAACACTTGACAATGCTCCTGAAAACCAAAAGAAAGCCAGAAGACCACCTCCGATGCAGCTTCGCATCCCGCACCCAAAGCTGCTGCGCAGGAAGTGTGCCTCTGCCGGACTCCCCGTCTTCGGAGCCACTGGCAGGGGTGTTGCCGCGGCGGCGCCGTCCTTGCGGGACCCGTGTTGCATAGCCACCCCAAGAACCGCAAACGAACCGACCAAAGAAGCAACCGTATGCCCGCCTGGCCCTGAGCCCAATCCCTCTCTGATGCTGCAACCCTCAGCCGGAACCGCACAATTGTGGAAACCTCGAGCCGAACATGGGTTGGAAAGCTGTTGCCCAAGCCTCGGCAGGCTTCGCCGCGGCCGTTCCCGATGGCGTGGCGTCGAGCTCGATTGCAGCATCCTGGTCATGATAAATGGGCCGTGAGACTCAAAAACCTTTAATCTAAATCCTGGAAAGCCGAGCCCAACATGCTCCATGCTGCAACAAACAACGCTGCCCTACTATTTGCTTAAGAACACCCCACAAATATGGGATTACTATCTTGACTTTTTGGGGCGGGTTCTCAAGCAAATGTAGTGGTTAGGCAACCTCCACCTTTCCACGGACGTCAGATCCTGCCCCAAAGCGCGCCTCTGCCTGATGCCCTGTCTTCGGTGCCACTGGCGGCGGCGCTGCCGCCGCGGCACCGTCCTGGCAGGTCCCCGTGCTTTGGCTGTAGTTCGCAAGGATATGGGTCATGTGTAGCACAGTAGTACTGAGGCTGAATGGGTTTAAGATTTCGCTTTGGCTTCAGCAGATGCTGAGATTGTTGGTCGATGCTAAGCAACCTAAAACTGGCCGACATGCCCCAGGAAGCAGCTGCTGTGTAGGCTCTGGAACGACATTGAGGCATGGTCGTGATGAATTGCACTACTCCGCACAGCGCGCGAAAAAACCCAACGCCAAATGCCCAATCGATTGATTATAGAATCATACACGAATAACCGTATAATCACATGATAAGATATGATATCATGATATTATGATACTACGATACTATAGGTATAGAATGCATATATTTATATATAATAAATAAACAAACAAATCAATTTATAAACAAAGAAATAAATGCATAGGTATATATACACATATATATATATGTACATAGACGAATATAATATGCCAATGACATCACATGATAATATCATATTATATATATATATATATAGGCAACCTCCTCCTGGGTTATTAAGGAGAGAGCTTTCTTTGATGCATGCTGCCACCCATTCCCCACAAGTAGGAAACCCAACCGTGCTTGAAGGCCCACCGTTTCGGCACGGGAAAGCAATGTCTGTCAGACACTTGTGGGAAGTTTTGGGAGGGACATAGTGGGAGGTTATAACCATTCACAGCAGATGTGAGCCCCTTATAAACTCGTGCACCCTGAACCGGGAAACCCTCAACCCTAAACCCTCAACCCTAAACCCTAAACCCCCTTAACCCCCCTGAGGTTGGAAAGCTTTTGCCCAAGCCTCCGCAGCGCTTGCCGCCGCTGCCGAAGGCGTCGCGTCTAACTCGATTGCGTCCTGGTCTCAAGCCCTGGTCCGACATGGTCTGAAGCTAAGGGTTTAGGGTTTAGGGTTAGGGTTTAGGGTTTAGGGTTTCGGGTTTCGGGTTTCGGGTTTAGGGTTTAGGGTTTAGGGTTTAGGGTTTAGGGTGCTGAGAGCCCAACAGGATCAGCCATCAAAGCCTTATGAAAGCCCTGGAGGGCTTGCCATGTTGCAACACTCCCCAAAACTAAGACATTCGAATGCCACCCTGCACCTCACATCCAGCACGCGAAGCTCCATGTGGGGGTTGAAATACGGGGTACCTTATTGGGGTCCTTAGTATTATAAGGGAATCCTACTATTTGGGGGACTACATTCGAGGGCCCCTATTGTTTAGGGTTTAGGGTTTGGGGGTTTAGGGTTTAGGGTTTAGGGTTTGGGGGTTTAGGGTTTAGGGTTTAGGGTTTGTATACCCCCATGTAAGAAGCCTGCCTCTGCCTGACGCGTCTTCGGCGCCGCTGGCGGCGGCGCTGCCGCCGCGGCACCATCCTGGCAGGCGGCGTTTGCCCTATAAACCCTATAAAACCCTATAAACCCCATAAACCCCATAAACCCTATAAATCCTATAAATCCTATAAACCCTATAAACCCTATAAACCCTATAAACCCTAACCCCTCAACCCTAACTAAACCCTAAACTCGAAACCCTTATCAGTTTCCAATTCACCTTTTGGGTTATAAGGGGTTCATGAGGGATCCACAGCCTGGAAAATAGGGAATGAGGGTGACCCACTTTGCGTCCCAGGATGTAGGACCGTGAATCCCTAAGCCGCAACACTGCACCCTAAACTCTAAGCTCTGCACCCAAAACCCCAGTAGAACCCTAAACCCTAAAACCCCAAGCCCTAACTCCAAATCCGGTAAGTCATTTGTACACGCGGTTAGTATCACGCACAGCAAGGGCTGTTTGAAGCCTGGGGGTTTGCACCGGGCTGCTCGGATCTTAAGGAATGGTAAAGTCTTTTAAAAGTGATTCGTAAGGGATTTTGAAGCCGTAAATGGTTTTCATGGTTTGGGCTGAGGGCAGGGTTGCGGCTAGAAGAAATGAAATATTGAGCTCTCAAAAAGCATCACACAGTGCCAAGTTTCGACCCAACCCTTCGGTGACAGTTGAAACCCTGGTCCCGAATTCCCAGACCCTGAAGAACGCCCACGCCCAAAGGCCCCTAAACTCTAAACCCCAACCCCAAACCCTAAACCCTAAACCCCAAACCACAAACCCCAAACCCTAAACCCCAAACCCGAAACCCCAAACCCTAAACCCCAAACACTCTACCCCAAGCCTTGGTAGTGGCCACAGCTCCCAGTGGCTCAGCGTCGGCGTCGAGCTCAATCGCAGCGTCCTGGCTACGAGTAGTGTGCTCATCATTTCGGGTTTAGGGTTTAGGGTTTAGGGCTAGGGTTCAGAGTTCAGGATTCAGGGTTTAGGGAAAACCAGGGGCAGAGGAGCCAGCTTCTTGAAACAAACCCATTCAGGCCCACTAAGGTGCCAAGCTTCGAAACCCCAAACCCTAAACCCTAAACCCTTTCTCGAGCCCTCGAGACTCGAGACCCCTAAGCCCCAAATCCTATCAACCCCAAACCCTATCAACCTAAACCCTGTCCGCAGGATCATCTCGCCTCGCCGTGGCCTTGAGCAACCCTTTCAGCTTGCGAACGTCGGGTGACCGATCAAAGCCAAACAGTCTGAAACGGTGGGCCAAGTTCACAACCAGCTCCAACCGCTTCGTCCAATCATGGATCGCCACTCCCTGAGTAAGGTTCAACACCTCCTGTCGAATGGTCGGTTCCAGGTCATTCAGCACCATCACGGTGGCCCCGAGTTTTCCACCAGCCTGTTGACCCATCCACCCCGGATTCCAATCGAGTCCAGTATGCCCAAGTCGTTCAGTGGCGAGGAACCTCCAATCCAAGGGCTGGCCATGGGTGGCCCCTTTTTGCAAGCCTCAGCCTCCTGGACCATTAGTGCTGAGGCAATCCCATCTATAACACCGCGAAAGGAGTAGTCTGGCGTGGAAGCAGGAAACAACAAAACCTCCACGCAGGCGAAGGACAAAGGCGCGAGACTGTTA